CCGGGCCGGGAGCGGCGGCCGCGGGTTCGGCCGGGCCCGGCCGCGTCACCGCTCTCGGCTCTGCCGGCTCGGTCAGCGCCTCGAGGGAGCCGCTGCTCGCCGGCCTTTGGAGGCCAGCCCCCACCCCGGCGCGGCCCGCCGGCCCGGGCACTGTCCGGTGACGCGCCGGGGCGTTGCGTCACGCTGCCCTGAGGTCACGGGCAGAGCGGAGCTTCGGCCCCGTCCCCCAAAGCCTCTCGGTGTCCCCACGCTCCGGCCAGGCCGAGCGAGGCCCCCCGGGCAGCGGCGTGGCTCGGGGTGTGTCCCCGGGCCCCCCGAGTCCCGGGGCCGGCCTGGCTGAGCCCGGCGCGGCCGCTGCCCCGCCGGCTCCGTGCCGGTGCCCGGTGGCTGCGCGGGGAGGGTTACCGGCTTTCAGGGTTCGTTGTGGCTCCACCGGGACACGGGGTTACTTTGTTTCACGGCACGGTCACCCTGGAGCCGCGGTCGGAAAGGGGCAGCTCTCAGCGTGGCCGGGATCGCCTGCACCCAGGAGCTTTTTGGAATAAATCCCACTTGGTGTAGTGTTTGTGTACTGACAGTGACTAAGTAGAGCAGGCCTGGGCGTTTATTCAGAAATGCTACTACTGCCTCTTTTGTCATCAGGAGATTGTTTTTATGGTGAAGCATTTTTAGGCTTCGTTTTTCACGTCCACTGCAACTTGCAGGGGTCACCTTTTCTCTCATCACATTTTAACAGGGTGACCCTTGCTGGCAGGAGCACAGAAGGTGTTTGTTCTGGGGGCTTCCTCAGCTGGTCCCAGCTTTGCTTACTTGTGGTTCTGCTGGGAGATGACAGGATGGAAATTTGGCTTCAGTTAGGTTGGAAAAGACCTCTGATGTCATCAGGTCCAACTTTTGGTTTTCATCACCTGTCACCTGGACAGTTCCCTTCTAGGGAATGTGACTCCACCACCTCCCAGGGCCCAGTTCCAGTGCTTGACCACCCCTTCTGTGAACAGATTCTCCCAAAGTCTGACCTGAACCTCCTGTCAAAGCCATGTCCTGCCATCCTGTCACTGGCTGCCTGGCAGAGGAGCACCTGGCTCCAGCCTCCTTTCAGGTGTTGTAGAGAGAGGAGGCACTGAGCCTCCTTGTGTCCCAGCTGGATCCTTCCCCAGCGCCACTGCCTTTCTCTGGACACATTCCAGCCTCTCAATGTCTTTCTTGAAGTGAGAGGTCCAAAACTGGACACCACCCTCCCTGTCCTGTGTCCCCTGTCCTCAGCCCTCATCGGTGTTGGGCGGGAGGAGAACAGAGTAAGCACAGAAAAATAGCAGTCATGGAAGAAAGTGGGGAGGAAAGTCCTTGGTGCATAATCCTGCTGTGCTGCCAGCACACATCACACAGCCTGCCCTGCCCTGCCCTGCCCTGTGTCCCAGCACCACCACATTAAATCACTTTGTTCTTCCATAACCCCTCTGATGGGATCAGCCAGGCACCATCCAGGCCTTAAGACTTAAATTGTATTTGAGAATAAATCTAAATTTAAGACAAAGCCTGGCCTATTTTATAGTAGGGATTATGTGATGTGGTGTCTGCAGGGGTGTGAGAAGTCTTGGCTCGGGAGGTCACTTCTCCTCCAGTCTTCTGGATGTATTAACTCACATACTCAAGCCTCCCTGAATTAATTTGGAATCAAAGGTCCTGCCTTTTCCATTTTAAATACAATTGAAAGGATGTGTTCAGTTAAATGAAAAGGTGACATTTGCATGGCTGGTAGTCTTGTCAATCCTCTGTAAAATGTGATAAAAATCAGCATTTTTTCAGACACATTAATGCTGATTGGGATGACCTGAGCTCTGGAGCTGTGATTGGGTTAGCCAGTGCTTATTCCTTTAAACACACGGGCCTGTAAAACATTTGTCTCATCTGTCAGAGAGTAAACTTGAAATCCTGACTCAGTTTCATGCACTGGAGCTGTATTTTAAGGTGGAGGAGGGGAAGAAGTGGAGGAGGAAAGATTACCATAAGCCTGCCTCCTGCAGAGTTATTATCCCTCTGTGATCCACAGAGCAGGTGGAAAACTGCTGTTCCTGCCTCACCCTGAGCTCCCTGGGACACACCTGAGCTGGTGGTGTTTGTTGCTCCCCAGGCTGGCTGGCCTGAGCTCTTCTCTCTCTGTGATTTGGTATCTGAGTCACTCCTCAAAGTGTAATATCCTTGTTACATCCATTTCTATTTCACTGATACTTGTAGGTCATTCTTCTGCAGTAAATAATGTGTTCCAGGATTTCTCTTGTTTTAAATACCCTTTAGAGAAATGTCATCAATATTTATTTTACTAAACAAGTTTTCTGGTAAAAGTTCTTTGAAAAGCCTCAGCTCTTTGTATTTTATATCATAAAATTGTTTTCAGCAGCTGTTAGTATCATCTGTAACAATTCTCAGATTAGGAGTTTCCATATAGCATTGTGAATCTACTGGAAGTAGAATTTGTGGAAGTGGATCCATGCTGAGTCCAACTCCTAGAAGCAAACCTGGATGGGAGCCCAGCTATAAAAACGTTGGAGCTACAGATTCATTTGTCTCCCATTTACCATGGTGATTGCAAACCCGAGTTGCTGAGAATTATTAAAAACACTGCCACTGTGCCTTCCATTATTTCAGTGCTGTTTTGGATAGAATACCTTGCTGTTTCTCAGTTGATGAGCAGGATAGGAGGAGTCTCCTCCTTTTTTTGTTGTCTCTCTGATGTTACCAATAGGGGACACGTGTGACAGGAATCTGGGGCACAGCACAAGAGGTTTGGGATGCTCTGGTTGTCCCTTTGGTTGGTGTGACCCCCATAGCCACGCTGTCCTACTGCACCCCCAGAACCACCAACCCCTCTGTCACCCCATGGGCACTCTTGGGCTTTGGAACAGCCTGAGGGGCCCTGGGGCTTCAGGAGCAGCCCCAGGAACAGCAAGGGGTGACCCAGACACAGCCCAGCCAGGTGTGTCACAGAGGACAAACCAAAGTGCAGGTGCTAAAGCAGCAGGGTACAGCTGACACCTCTGTGATATGAGCAAATCAGCTGCTGAGAGCACAGACTTTCTGAGTAGCAGTTGAGAGAAATGGAATTTGGAAACTGCCACACCTAAACTGCTTTTATGGGAAATGCTGTTTATAAGCTAGAGCTGGGACTCTCCAAGAGCTGTGGTTACTGACAGTGATGATGTGCAGGAGGCTGCAATCACAACCCTGTGCTCAGAGTCCTGAGGTAACCACTGGGAGCAAATTCTTTAATTCCTTATTTCTTCATTACCTCTTAAGTGAGAAAGGTGGAAGGTGTGTTTTGAAGCATTATGGTTTGTTTCTGTTGAAGTGTTGCATGGTGAATCTTGCTGGCTGTGCTTGTCTTACTGTCAAAGCCATGAGAGATGAGCTCCTTTTGTTCAGCAGGGGGCTAGGACAGGCTGATGTCCCCTGGCAGAGGACATCAGTGGTCACAGAGACTTGGAGCAGTGGAAAGGTCAGCGAGCTCTCCAGGAGGTATTCCAAAAGTTGTTTCACTGGGGTGGCTTTGGTACAGGCTCAGTACATTGGCATCTTTTGCTCAGTTGAAGTCTTGGGTTCGTGCCCTTTTCTTGTTCCAGCCCCAAACATATTTGTAGCTCTCTCAATTTCCATTCTTATATTCTTCATTTTATTCCATCAGGTCTGGAGCAGAAAACTAATTGCAACTTGCAGTTCAAGCTACATTTATTGAAACTAACCTGATTTAAAAATAAATCCCTTGTTGTCATTATTTTAAATTTGAGCAATCTTTTAATCCTTT